GGCTGTTCTCAGAAGGAAGGCAACAGGAATGGTTCCGCAGTCTGACTCGGGCGCTGTGCCCAGCGCGCATTCCAGGCCTCATCACTGAACAGCTGTGCCCACGACCCCACTTCTTGCTAGCCATCCCACCCAGTGGGCTCACATTACGCCGTGACACTGACAAGGCACACACAGCTGGGTGCTGTACCCCAATAGCACCAGCCCGCTCAACCCCACAGAAGAGGCCTAGGTGGCTTCATGGGGCATCACTCACCAGGGGGTTGATGCTCTTATCAGACAGGTCGTAATCGGTAGAGGCATTGTTCTTGATCAGTTTGCCATCCTTGATAAGGTAGCCTTGGCCGATCTTATAGATCTGAACAAGGAGAAACTCGTAAGTAACCTAGAAAAGGTGAAAAGGGAGCAGGGAGCCGGCCCAGCGGGGATAGTCCCCTAGTCAAGGTAGGTTGGAGGCAGGGTGGAAAGGTAATTAGTAGGGACAAAAAAACTCCCACATACCAGTGGGCTGGTCTACAAAGCACTCTAGGAAAGTAGCTGTGACCTCAGTCCTCCTGAGGAGGTAACCCAGGCTCAGAGCAAAAAGGAAGGGAGTCTACAAACGGCCCATGGTTTGTAAGGTGGCTGAGCCAAAACTAAAGATCCTGCTGAACAACATAGCGGATGGATAGGAAACTCAAAAACCTCCCTGGAGGCAGAACCAAAGAACAGACGCTCACCAGCAGCCACACCAATGGCCAGCTCCACCAAGACGCCTTTAAGGGTGGCACTTTACAAATCACCCTGACACCCAAGAGCCAGAACAGACCCATGAGATATAGACAACTTAAGTCCATGATGCTCAGAAGCTGTAGAACCAACGAAGCAACGACAGGGACAGCAACCCCAAGGCCTAACCTCTCTCCCAGGGAACCACCCTCAGAACCTCACCTTCTTGTTGATCTCTGTGCGGTGATGGTAGCCTTTCTGCCCAGCCCGTGCCACAGAGAAAGCCACACGGGCAGGATGCCATGCCCCGATACAGGCAACCTTACGCAGCCCTCGGTGGGTCTTGCGGGGCAGTTTCTTGGTATGCCAACGACTGGTAACCCCTGGAAAGGACACATGCCATCACTGCACCTTGGGGCCTGGCACTTACCCCACTTGCCCTTTCCTGCTGTGAGTGCCCCATTTGAATTCAGTAAATAATTACTGCCCAGCGCCCGGGTAATCTGAGGGACAGACGAGATTATTTCATCTGCATTACCCCCGTATCTCGATTTCCTGTCAAGTTGGACGCCTGCCTAGATACACATGTAAATCCAGAGTTCTAAGTTCTAAATGCAGGCATGAGGATAGGCCCTGCGGCTGTGACCCTGAAATGGTTTGTGAACACATGCCATTTGAAGCTGTTATGTTAAAGTCCCCCCACTGGAAGCTCCCCTTTGCTTTTCGCAGTGGGTGTACAGCAAGAGGTAGCCCCTGCTGCCCCGCCTCCGGCCACAGGGCTGTTCTCAGAAGGAAGGCAACAGGAATGGTTCCGCAGTCTGACTCGGGCGCTGTGCCCAGCGCGCATTCCAGGCCTCATCACTG